ATGTATTTTTGGTATTGAAACGCAAACTACACTACATAGTCACTTTATTTCTTCATCTGTGGTACCCTCTTTGTGTTAATGCTGTATTGTGTAATTGCTTGTAACTCACCACTTTGACGTCATGGCGAAGAAACGATGAAACTAAAATGAACAAAACGTAGTGAGGAGACCTCATCCTCAAAAAATTTACATTCTGATTCAGCAACTAAGAATGCCAGCTCGCTTTAGTGCGCGCAGTTTTATACGTACAATAATAGGCAGGAAAAAAATTGAATTTTCGGATATAAAAAATGGTTTAAGAAGAGAATCGCATTGAAAGTGTCTACTTTTCCCTCTTGCCTTATCTCGGGTACCTGACATTTGAGCGTCAACGAAGTAGGTGTTACCACGCAATTTAGGACGCAACGGATGAGTTGAATAAATTCCATTAGCAAAGCACTTAGATGAGGTGAGTTTTGACCTTTTCGTGGTCTGTGAAATCCACCCGGTCTCTACCGATGCCTCCGCGACTACTTTTAGGGGCCTTAAGAGAGGCAATGCATATTTTCAGATTACCTATCAGACCCTATGGGGGACTGTCCTGTCACAGGTTTGTCAAGTTTTCTCCCCGCAATCCGTAATCAGCTTTCATCGTTTCCTTTAGCACTAACTCTGCGAACATCGGAGTATATCAACTGCTGTCCATCAAAAATAGTGCTTTTTAAAAACAAAGTTGCCAAATTAGCATTTTCATTCGGGCAAAACGCCCAAATAATACGCTCGTTTGGGCGAGTCGCCCAAATGATCGACTACCGTGCCTAAACCCCTCCGTCCTCAATCGCCACCGCCGAAGCTCTCTGAAAGCTAAAATGCTACCTCGGCTCCTTCTTGATCGATTTTTGTGAAATTCGTTATCCCAGTGTATTTTTGGACGGGAAACTTGAATTCCGAGTCAACTTTTCAAAATTTCTAAATATCATAAAAAAACAAGATGGCGCACGTGGCCTAAAATGCTCTATTGGCTTTCTCAAGATTATCTAACCTTGCATGTATTTAGTTTCTGTTCATTTTTTTTCACTCACAATTATATCATCTCCACAGAAAATCAACCTATCTGTCACTTTTGTAAATTATCACCTCTAACCATCAAACACGTACTTATGGACTGCTCTACCCTCAGGTATCTCCAGTCACAAATCTACTCCCCTATAATCAACAGAAATACAAACCCACTTACATGCGATGAACCCAATATTACTACCAAAATTCTGAAACTCTTCACCTCCCTTAATTTAAAAATCTAAATTTTCGTATATACTCCCATTTTCAAAATTCTCTGTAAAGACGTTAATAGCCTGTGACGCTGAATGTCTCAATATATACTAACTAACTAACTTAATTTGTATATATGTATAAAGCCGCTTTTATAGAGCTCTTTGGAGCTCTGCGACCCGCAGCCGCCAAAGTCCCCTATCCTCCCAAAGCCCTTCAGGGAGTTGACAAACCCTCATTTCATATAAAACTCCCTGTCGCCACCCTTTCACTGGGCGTCCCCTTCGTCTCCTCCCAGGAGGAACCCAATCAAGCAACTTCTTTGGCAGCCTTTAGTCTGTTAATCTATTGACATGACCACACCAGACAAGCTGTCTGGTCATGACGTCGAATATGATGTCATTTTCGACTCCCATGATCTATTGATCTAACGCACTCTTTCATTGCGGATCCGATCTCTCGGGTTCCTCCCCTCCTCCAGAAATCCATCTCCTTTGCTCTTAGGATCCCCTGAGTCCGCTTCTTTAGCTGCCAAACTTAACTTCAACTTAATTTACCCTCAAATAAATACAGATGTGGATATGGGCACGCTATTCAACACTTATGTGTTGAAACTGCTTGCAATTTATTTTTCGGCGATAGTCAAGTTTTCTCAAAATTGCTAGTTGCGATATAGTTCTTTCATCCCAACGGTCTCATCTTCTTTTTGAGAACTTTAACAAGTGCCCACATAGTACACAGCCGAGCGTTTCTCTAATACGAACGTATCAGAGCTTTCCCGCATGTTTTTTTCTCCATTATCATCGCCGATTCGTGATGTCTCGCGTGATATGAACGTATGCCGCCAAAGTTCTGAGAATTGGGTCTACTAGCGTGGGTGAAGACGCGTTAAACGTGTTTCAAGCGTGAAATAATGAGGCGAGACAATTTTTTTCGAGGACATGAAAAAAAACGGCGATGTAATTTATGCAGTGAAGTAAAAGAACAATAAAATCTACAATTGACACCTCGCCCCTCCACTTTCCATGGTGACCTTGATGGAGTTGAGCCGTCTTTTGAAAGAAAAACAAATTGCGTCGTTCTTCAATTCATAGCGTGTCAAAGTTTAACTTAAAGGATCTTCCCATGATCGCTTCTATGTATCGTCGCTCCTCTGACGCAAGGGCGTAAATAGATTGCCGCACTACCCTTTGCGTCCAATTAGGTTTTCTAAAGGGAATGAATCTCCAGATTTATATTACCAGTGACGTGTCGTGATTTGCGATAAACCGATTAATCTGCCTTTTAAACCTACGGAAAAGGATCGCAGACGGGGTGTTTGCAACGGACACCGTACACTGAAAAAAAATATCGGTGTATTTACTAAGAAAAGGGTAAAATTACCAAGAATTCAGGGTTCTATTTGATCTCAGTTTTTTCTTGGTAAAATTACCATTTATGGAATTGGTAATTTTACCGAGAAATCTCGGTAAACTTATTGTACTTTCTCGGTATTTTACTTAAACTTGGTAAAAACGCCAATATTTTTTATCGACTGTAGTAGAATTACCGAAATAAAATGGCAAAGTTACCGGGGATTGATTACCAATCAAAGTGGTATTCTCACCTGAAAAAAACAGTAAAAATACCGGTTTTTAGGTAAGCTTACCAGTATGTCTTGGTAAAATTACCAATAATTGGTAAAAAAAGTGAGATGGAAAGGTATCAACGGACCGTGGTAAAAACGCCGAGAATTTATTTTCAGTGTAGTAACCGATTCTTTACCACAGTTTCAAATGGGGAGATATCAATTATCGATCATACACGCCTCGCCATTGTATATCACGGATTGACACGGCTCGGTCCGTAGATGACGATGGAAACATGAAAAGGGACAAAAGTGAACCTTGTTTGTGCATTACATTGTATTTTTCGCTGCTTTGAAAATATACGGATTTTTTGAAGCAGATTGTAAGAATGTTGAACGATGATTTTTAATTAACAGCATTCTCTTAATTTCTTGAATTCTATTCCCTTTTATTAGAAAATTTTACTTTTCTTCACTCTATTCATTCCGCTTCTCACTCTCCTCACCAACTCTGCCGTGCTACGGAATAACGCCGTATTCAAATTCGGGAGTTGCCAAAATTTCTACGATGAAGATATTACATATGAGGAGCGTTACGAATATTTTATGCCATTGTTTTCGGATAATTTAGGTCTGATTCTCCGTTAAATTATTTTGAAAAATTGCAGGAAAAATCCTTGCAGAATTCCCGGAAAATTAGTATTAAAATCAAATGGCATTTGGCAACGTCTGAAGGTTCATGCAGCATTTTTCTTCAGCACGGTAGACCTTTTCAGTCTTTTTCCTCTTCCCTTCTCCTCCTCCTTTTCCGGATAGCCAGTTATTAAAATTACCGAAAGGCCAGCTTCTTAATAGATCCACCGCTTCCAGGTCTTTATGTCCACCTACCTTTCGTCCATTTAATAAATGTCCACCGCTATTTATGTTCACTAAACATTAAGTCCAGACTATATTAAGTCCACATGATTTGATGTCCAACCATGAATATGTCCAAAATTGTCCAAATTGTGGACATAACATGTCCACATTTTTTTCTTCTCATTTAAATGACAGGAACCTTCTCAATAATAAATGTATACCTACTACTACCTCCATTCTCAAAAACATTTCATTCATGAATCAAGTCATGAAAGAGAACAGACTCTAAGAGCAGATAAAAACATATTTTCATGTGTACACTGTACGGATATGATAAGATGAAAACCGAAGCGGGAGCCTAGGAAACGCTCCAATGCCAAATTAAGCATTTTTTAGTAACAGATGCTGTCAAAATTGAAAGTCCTCTTTAACTAGTTATTTCGTGCGCCTTCAATCTTGTAGGATACTGTGCGACGCCTCTGACACGAAATAGTTGCTTGAAGCGTTGCGGCGCGGCAGGCAACCAGCGTGACCCGCGCATAGGCGCCTACAAACCTAACGGGATACTTCACGCGTTGCGCAATGCGTGAAGTATCCCGTTAGGTTTGTAGGCGCCAGTGCGCGTTCTGCGCTGCTAACACGCCGCTCCGCTCTGTGTTAGGCTCTAATATTGAAACTCGGGGAGTCAGCGTTTTTCAACTCATGATTTTGAAATGTTTGCACTCTCTGCATTGATTATTCCCTTTTAAACTGACGAAAAAGAAATATGTACTACTGGAAAATAAAATGTGTTTTTTGCAAATATAATAGTGGTTCCATGTCAAATTTAATGATTTCAAAAGAATTCAAATTTATTCCTTTATGTTTTGGGCTTTTACTGTGCTGAAGCGTGGTATAAGCGCAACCAAGCGCTCAAAATTGGACGTATTTGACTCAAGAAGGTCGATGTACAAATAAGTTAAAAACAAAAAGTGGACATTAAGTCCGTGTACCAGATCCACCACCATCGGAAACACAATGTATTTGATCATGATGAAAGACAATTGTGCATGTTGTAAATGTTTTTGCAAAAGAAGAGCAACTGTGAGTCGGTATTTATCTGCCTTTTCGTAGGTTTATTTTGGCATATTTCTGCCAACCGGAACTATGTGCATTATGACGTGAGCCCTGTCATGCATATATTCTTATGATCCTCGGGGCTCATGTCTGAACGCACATATTTTCGTTGGCAGAAATACGTCCATGTGTAGTAAAATTGAAAGCCCATAGGAGATTAAGGCTCTGGGGCAATATTATTTCAAGGCTTCCTTGCGCTCCCCTGTCTCGTCTCATTCCTAATTTAGTTGTAAGGCGTCTTCATGGCCAATCATAACCTGACAATAAAAGGTCCCATATTGAATACGACAGAACAGAATGAATAGAATGATTTTATTAATAAGGATCGTCATTTAGCTCAACAAATCCACTTTTAAAATTACCACGCAGAAATGAGAGACGAAAGTGATGTCCATAATTTCCGTTGATGAGCTCTGTGAGCTCTCTCCAAGATTTTCACTTTTAAGACGGTCTCTTTGGACAATGTTTCGTATGCTGTAAAAAACTATTTCGTAATCTGAGCTCTGCACCGCAATAAGGGCAGACAAACACATTCGTGTGAGATTGCTTGTGCACAGTCAGGTTCCTGGAAGTTGTGTACTCTTTGTTGCAGTTAGGATAGTCGCACTTGTACGGCTTGGGCTCACTTGGGAGTTCTAAAAAAGAAAAAATTAGCGATATTCTGACAACTTTTTACTTATTAACACTCAAATGAAAACATTATCAATGCATGTCACCAGCACATACATGCATGCGCCTGTTGTTTAGTTGCAATCAAGAAAAAGCTAGAGATGATGTAGAGAAATGTTCGGTTTCAGTGACCTTGCGGTGCAATTAACGGAAATTGTAAACCAAAAACTGCGGTTACTAAACTTGTACCGAAAAAGTTACTTACTTGAACCAAAGTTCAGTCACTGCACCCAAACTTTTTCCTCGAGTAGCATTGATTACAGATGCATAAATACTAGTCGTACGTGCTTCATCAGAAGAAAGGTTCATTTGAAGGACTTGGATGGCAAGGTGCATGAGTACAGTTTTCAATACATCAAAAAGTACGCGTTTAAAGATTGAAAATGACTCGGAGTGTTTTGAGAAAAAGATGGTTCGAATTCACTTTATGATGGTAAAAGTATTATATTTCAGGAGTATTTTAAGACCCTTTTTGTCAAAATAAAAATGAGAATTTTTTTTCGAAAACTGCACTAATGCTTCTTGTCCTCCAAGCTCCTCATTTATCGATTATTCACATTGGTGGCATAGATTGAGGCAAAACAGAGACTAAGCCAATCCGGCCGGATGAAGTGATTTGTCAACCTTTTTCTCTACCTCTCTGAATTTTTTAATTTGAACACAATAAAAGCAATGGTATTGTTGTTGTTGCCCTCTTTTCTACCGCCTAACTTCTTGGGCTTTTTTGCTGGACGTCCCTTTAAAAATAAGCAGTATTTGTCCAAAAGGAAACTGTAATAGATCAGCTTATGTCAAATGTCATTGGACTGTTTATACTGCAACATTGCAACACCTGAGGTCCCTCAGTTCCTTTTCAAGAATCACCGCCCAAATAACACACTGAAGAAAACCGGTGGAGATTTTTGCAATGTGGTTACTGTTTATCTTCATTGAAATGCAAATTTTTGGCGCATCTAGGACCGATTGTTTGGAATTCATTTAAATCTAGAGGAGCACATTTTTGCAAACTTGCAAGTACCGCAATTAAATGAAAATAAGGGAGACTTACCTTTGTTATGCCAACGACGCATATGATGCCTTAAGTTGGGTTTTGAGGACAAGTTCTCATTGCACTCGGTGCAACGATACTTCCCTTGCCGAACCCACTCGTGAGTTCTCAGGTGCGACTTGAATGATCGTGGGTTAGTATAAATTTTCTGGCACTTGGGACACTCCTGTGGTGTTCCTTGCGCTACAGTCGCTGATGAGCTACCCTCTCCTCCTTCATCATCTGAAAAATAAGCAAACCACTCTGCGAATACTATTCCTGTTTTTATTTCTTCTTTATTTCTTTTTTCTTTCTTTTTTTTTGTAATCTGATGGACAGTGTGACTTTGAAGATAATTAAATGGACGCATTTATGAAGGAACGAGAGACGGGAGGGAAAGAAACAATGTGCTCCTCAGTTGAGGGCCGTACACGTCAGCGCCAGTGGCGTGGCGTGAATTGCGATATATCGATTGTTATGCCATTTAAACCTATGGTAAATAATCGATTATTAAGGTGTTCGCTGCGAACACCCTGTTTATCGATCCTTTACCGTAAGTTTAAATGGCATAACAATCGATATATCGCAAAGCACGCCACGCCACTGGTCGGCGCCCACGACGGGGAACCCACACGCCCTTAAGGCCCTTTAGGTAGCATTTTTTAGCCATTATTTTCATTTAATTTAATGTCAAATCCCATTCTTCAATTTTTCCCCCAAAAAATTAAGCCCGCGTTTTCATTATTTCTTAGGCTATTTTTTTAAAAAAAATTTCGGTGTAGGTATACTTTCGCACTTCCCGATCAGAGAACAAACAACCAGTGAGCTCCAACGCAATGTGTTAATTGATAAGGCGCGTCGTTGACTCATACATATCAACCTGATTATTTTACATTTGCAGAGATAGGTAATTCGTGCTCCTGGAAACTAAGGTATTATTAAAAGGTAGGTTAAGGTATTAAAAGGTATTATTAAAGGTATATTGAAAATAAAATATATTAGGTATTATTAAAAGTATTAAGGTATAAAATGTATTTTGGGGCTGTAACAGGGAAGTCACCGGTAGTAAATCCCGATATATTATTCAACAGAAATTGACTCTATATAAATGCAATTGCGATATATCGACGGTGCAAGTTGGCAATCACATAACTCGTTTGCGGTGTCTGAAAATCTCCGCTTCGATCTTATTTTTTTAAAGGAGAACTAATTAACATCATTCCTTGAAGTTTTTGCAGAATTTTCTTCGCACAATGAAGAAAAATCATGACAGTTTTAAAGAATTGCCGTTGAGTGGTTTTCCGTTTAAAAAACAAAGTATAACAGGAAGTCTGGGACGTCGCAAACCGAGTTATGTGATTGCCGACTTGCACCATCGATGTACGTCTTGCTATGCTAATATAAAGTACTTTCGGAACTTTTCTCGGAACAAACATTTTATAGGGAGAAATGCGGCAACGTCGAAATTTTCATACGGCGTCGAAACACAACATGGGCCTTCTAATCCCCATTATTTGATGCCGCAATTATTCTTACGCGAGTTTGAATAATAGCTTCAAACACAGTGCGGCCGACGTTAAACGCATGTTAGTGCCTGCAAGACCGCAGGAATACTTTACGCATTGCGCCAAATGCAGTACAGCCGGTCAGTGTTGGCATGAAAAGCATATTAGCGCCTGCAGGATTTAAGGAACACTTAAAGCATTGCGCGCACGGAACGCAAATCGTTGTAATTGTTGACTACTGTTGACTCCTGCTTTTCTTGTGAGCAGGAAATTCAACTTTGCCTTAACCATTGGTGAATGACAACGTGAATATCAAAGTCTGAAGTTCATTTTAGTAGTTTTTGTTGCGCAAAACTTGTACAAGATATTATCATGGGGAAACGTTTATCAGAAGACTCGAATTCACAACATGCTTGGTGGTCCATTGTCAAAACAAAAGCTGACATCACAGGTCTCATCAAACGAAAGTGAGAATATGACAAAAAAAACCTGCATAATATTTGTTGAGGTTTCTCGCTTTTGCATATTTTTTCGACTACCAAGACCGCACAGTGAAAAGTCGGAAGTGTGAAGCCTTTAGTAGATTTTGGCATTAGTTTCCCTATGGCAAATCCTGAAATTTTGTAGAAGAGAAGTGTAGCTGCAAATTTACTGCGAATTGAAATATTACGACGAAATATGGATGCTCTTTGGATAAAAGATGATAGATTTATTGTGTGTTTATGCGGAGAAGTGCTTTAGAAGGTCCCGAAAATGGATGGGTGGGGGTTGTCTGAGCAAAAATCACTAAATTGCAGTAGTGCGGCGCCCCACCTCTAAGCCATTTGAATAAGACAAAATACCCTGAAATCTTGTAATATCAACATATTTCGCTTTTGGTCGTACCTTTTTATTTCCTTTTAAACTATGATGGAAAATTTTGAGTGTCAAGCCTGACCAAGGTAACTTGAGAGCAGCCGTTGAAAACGTTTGCTGCATATTTCTATGTAAAAAGGTGAAACATGTATGGGCCCTTCAACGTATTTTTCCTTATAAAAACGATCAAAATCAATCGTCTGTCATCCGTAGAGCATTGATTTTTCGTTGCAGTGTTTGAATACTCGGTAAATTCACATTTATACTGCACCTCTACGAAACTGAAGAATCCGCCAAAGGAAAACAATGCTAAAATTTACCAAAAAATGGTACCCCTCTAGTGGGATCCTTTAATATCAACATTTTTAAAAACCGAAAGAGGGTCCCTCATCAGGTCAGTTAGGAACACGGACTTTTATCAACCCGTTTTGTAATTTCAAAAAAGGTTCAGAAACAAGACACTCAAATAAGCATACCCCTTTTTCAAAGAGGACAGTAATAGTAAACAGATAGACGTACCCGTATCGTCTTCATTTTCGCCTTCTGCTTCTTCCTCTTGACCGCCACCGGAGGAGCCTCCAGCCCCTTGATACTGACTTGAGGACCCGCTTTGGTGTGCGGCGCTGGAATATGCTCCTTGACCATATGATGGAGTCTCATATGCATCAACTCCAAAGTTGGGATCTTCAGCGAGTGAATGAGGTACATAGACTGCATTAGAGGGTTGCATAGGAGTTCCAGGAAGTGAACTGCCGTACGGTGCACCCAAGAACGTTTGATAAGGATTCCATTGGGAGTACTCACCAACTCCGGATGAAGGATCATGTTGAAGTGTTCGATCATAAGGGATCGAAGACTCTGCAGGGGTTGGAGGGAGGGAAGGTGTTGGGCTCCCACCTCTAGAGCCGCCCACACCACCACTATCATACCTCGAACCTGAACCTATCGGTGGACCCATGGTCATATGCGAAGGACCCCCAAAGGGGGTCGAACCTTGACCAGCACCCATAAACGTACGCGAAGGACTTCCATACGAGTACGCATCTATGCCGAATAAAGGATCATGTTCGAGTGTATGGTCATCAGGGATTGAAGGATGCAAAGGGGTTGGAGGTAGGGAAGAAGTTGGGCTTCTTGGGCCGGAACTGCTCGGACCACCGGTTTCTTCCCTTGTCCTTGACCTTCCTCTTCCAGGCGACCTTCGCCCTGGCGATCGCTGGGTTGATAGGGGCGGCCTACCTCTGCGCCCGCTTCTGCCTCTGCCTCTACCTCCGCTTCTGCCTCTGCCTCTACCTCCGCCTCCACTTCTGCTTGCCACTGCTTCGCGCAGGGTTCTGTAGGCACACTCGTATAAGGTTCTGGCTCTTTGTATTGGTTCGAGAAAAGCACAGCTAGGATTCTTGATCGAGCATTGGTAGTAAGGCTCGTCTGGGAGTTGACGGCATTTAGGCTTTCTCCATTGGAGGCAAAGGTTCAACGCCAGCATATCTAGGTTCACGAATGCCTGTTCGCAGGCCTGGGCTGCAGCTAGCTTGACCGCGGTAGGAGATTCATCCGTAATTTCTCTGCACTGGGCGCTTGCGTTTTCGTAGGCGGTGACTGCGTTATCCCAATCCGGGCTGGATAACTAATTTCAATGAAAAAGAAGAAGAAGAAAATAGAAAAAGGAGAAGAAAGCACGGCAGCGAAGTTTGGGTGACAGCAAATTTTCGCCAGCGAATCTGGAGGAATTTTTCAACCAGATTGTCAGGGTTGCGACCCACGGGAGGAAAACACTCTACTGAAGTCATAAGGTAATTTAATGCGAATCAATTAGCCACAAATGTTCGCTTCCATCAAATTTTCGACCGCTTCGGAAGATATGGATCGCGAATTTTGGATGTGGTTGTTAATATAGCCAACATGACAACCAAATGTTGTAGGCACACCATCGCCTGGAGGAAAGTTTGTTTAGTTGCAACCTGGTTGTAACGGATGTTGGTGATAAGTTGGGTAAAAACCTTAGGCAAAATCTGTCGCGGAAATGCGACTACAGAAGCACTGAGGGAGCGCGTCTGTTTAAAAAATTGGCTTTAAAAACTATGTGGATATAAGAATTGTGATTGTGAAAACGAAAATAATTGATAAAGGCGTCATAGATAAAGAAAAACTTGTTCATTACACTCTTTACAGCAAAAATCAAATGTGTGATATGAAAGTATGAGCTACAGTTTAAAATAATTTGAAAATATGGTAAAATGACTGTACGGGATCCAAGAGGTCGTGTGGTTTGCATGTAGGTAGTGACAGTAGAAAAGGACGTCCTTATGCAAAGATATTGTATGGCCGCACATTTTCAGGGTGAAAGAACTCGAAGCCCCATCACATGTAGGGCAAAAAATCCAAGATAGTAAGAAAACATAATTTTGAATTTATTATATGGAAGGGGGGGGGGGTAATCCCAATATTAAAGTTAAAAGTATATTATTTCGCCATAATGTTTCATGTATTTTTGGTAATGAAATGCAAGTTACACTATATAGTCACGGTATTATCTCTTCATCTGTGGTACCCTTTTTGTGTTAATCTGCCTCCAACTTACCACTGTGACGTCATGACGAAGAAAAGATGATACAAAAATGAACAAAACGTAGCGAGGAAACTTCATCCTCAAAACATTTCCAATCTGATCCACTAACTGTGAATGCCGCTGTGCAAGCAGTTTTATACGTACAATAGACCGTAATTTTTTTTTTAAAGAAAAAAAATAACGTAATGGTTCCAAGAAGACAGTCTAAATGCAAGTGTCCACTGTCTCCCCTTGTCACAATTCTTATTCACGACATTTTAGCGTCAACGAAGCAGGTGTTAAAACACGCGATTTCAATGGAATAGGATGAGATGAATCAATTTCATTCATAAAGCCTGGCATATATGGGCAAGCACATCTAAAAGTCAAAGATGGCCGCCATGGTATAAAGTGCTAGCTCGGCTCCCGTTTGACCGATTGTGATGAAACTCAGAATCAGGTGATGTTTTTTGACGATAACCTCAAATTTTCAGTCAAAGTTTTAAATTTCCTGAATCCAAGATGGCGGGTGTGACCTAAAATGCTATATCGGCTCCTGTTCGTTTGTTTTTTGTGAGACTCGCCCTGGTAAAAATTGGCGATAAGAGCTGCGTTTCAAAATCCCACAGGAATTTTTATAGCCGGCTAAAGAAGGCTACAGAAAATCATATAGCTGGCTGTAGAATGCGGAGAAAATCATACGGCCGGGCTATACGAAGCGATAAAAAATTATGCAGCCGGGCTATAGTTCCTATCGCCAGGCTTTACACTTTATCGCCTGGCTATTGCTTTTTCGCCATCGATTATAAAAGGCTGTAAGAAATTGTGTAGAAATTCGTGTGCTTTGAAAATCATTAAGTTTACGGAACCACCTTAATATTCGCAAAACACACATTATACATACATAAAGTCGCTTCTATAGTGCCGCGTCGCGCTCTGCGACGCCCAATCGCCATTGCCCCCTATCCTCCCAGAGATCATCAGGCAATTGGCACCTTCTGATCTCCTCCTCCACCCCTTGTCGCCAACCTTTCACAGGGCGTCCACGCCATCGCCTTCCGGGAGGAACCCAATCGAAGACCTGCTTGGGCAACCGATAATCTGCCATCCTTCGCACATGTCCATACCAGACCAACTGCTTGGACCTGATATCGTGCACGATGTCCTTCTCCACACACATTATATTTTCATTTAAAACATATTTTTTTTCATCAATTGAAATGAGAATAATCCATACAGGATGTGCAAACATTTCAAAATCATGAGTTGAATAACGCTGACTCCGCCAGATTAAATATTAGAGCCTAACACAAAGCGGAGCGGCGACGCACCAGCGCCTACAAACCTAACAGAGATACTTCACGCATTGCGCAACGCGTGAAGTATCCCTGTTAGGTTTGTAGGCGCAAATGCGCGTTAAAATAGCAGCGTACAAGATGCATGTCAACGGTAGAAGACATCGTTAGTTCGTTGGTTATAAGGAACAGAAGTAAGCTTTCCTTAACTTCAAAAAATCTCTTGCTGAACTTAAAGCAGAACAACGAAGGCCCGAAGAAAATAATGAAGCATGAAATCTCAGAAGAACAACTGATCATGACTCTAGCCGAATTCGACAAAGAACTGACGGAACTTGACAATCAACATTACCTACCAATCGTGACATATGGCACTACACCAGAAGCGCCACTTGCAAAACCGACGGTCTCTGTGTAAAGCTACATTGCAGAATGCAACTCACATGTACCCAACTAAATGGGTGAGCAATGTAACCAAAGCAATCGAAACAATGAGTTACAAGTTGGTTTTTGCAATGGTTTTGCAGCAAGAAAGCTGTTATGTACCAATTATTTATTTTCGTTGAATTATATATGGTTTTCGGAAGTTAACGCATTTAAGTTTCAGGTTCGCTTTTTCGGCGTAAAGTAAACGTAAGGTGTCCCAAAAGCACCGGGACTTGTTCTGTAACTTCGAAAGTAAGATAGATACAGACATGATCTTGATTTCATTTTAAAGATCAACTCAATACCTATCGATTAAAACCAAGATCAGCTCAATCGGATAAAAATTGACCGAGTTATGGCAATTTGAAATCAGCGAGGAAAGTTTACGCCTACGATTTTTAAGGAAGATTCTTCATCGCCGTAAATCGAAAAGTCGGCCGATAAAGTGATGCTTATTAGTGTATTTTCCGAAGGAAATACACTATTGCGTTTTGTGTTTTTTTATTTTCGAGGTGTCATTTATCAACATTTTGTACCATCAAACACAACAGTTGACAGTGCGTATTATTGCAAAGTAGTAAAGGAGTTGAGAATGCACATTTCCCGGAAACCGTCGGACTTGAAAGCTCCGTGGATACTCCATCAAAACAATGCGCAGCCTCACACATCGAGCTTAACACGTGAATTTATGAGTAAAAATGGAGTTGAAACAATCCCTCATCCCCCTTATAGCGCTGACTTGGCTCCATGTGATTTTTGGATGTTTCCCACGCTTAAAAAGGAGCTTCGCGGACGAAGATTCGTATCGAAGACCGAAATCCAGAATGCAATTCAAAACTTCTTCAACTCCATCCCAGAGGAATAATTCAGGAAAACAATGTTGGATAAGTGGCAAGAGCGCATGAAAAAGTGCATCCGGTTTGATGGACGGTACTTTGAAAAGCAAAAGGAAGTTATGGAAGATTCGGAGGAAAGTGGATACGAATATTAACTTTTTAAATCCTGGTAAGCGAAAAATCTTCCTAAAAACCGTAGGGGTAAACTTTCCTCACTAATTTCAAATTGTCATAACTCGGTCAATTTTTATTCGATTGAGCTGATCTTGGTTTTAATCGATAGGTATTGAGTTGATCTTTAAAATGAGACCAAAATCATGTCTGTATCTATCTTAATTTTGAAGTTACAGAACCAGTCCCGGTACTTTTGGGACACCCTACGTATGATATTTCCACTCTACACATATGCTCGAATACGCATCATAAGGGACCTATGTGCTTCCTAATCTGCCAAGTATTAATTATTGTTAGATGATTGGTCTAAAACATTCAATACAACCAGTAAAAATTAACTGTCCCCTGCGAGATTCGAACCCCCGCTCGCACAAAAAGTGTCACTCTCCCAGAGGCAAAACGGTAACGCAGCCAGTTGAGCTATTTCGCTGTTCAGATATGCATTGAGAAAAAGAGAACACTTAAGTGATCTCGGACGCTGAGCGGGGCTTCACAAAAGACGTCCTTGAGATTTCAACGGTTCGGCCACTGGCGTGATAAGACACAACGGATCAACCGCATTACTCTGTGAGACATTGTTTACCTATGCTGTCATGTGTCACGAGGTTCATCTCACCATGGATTTGCGATCGCGGCAGTAAGCTGAGGCAATATTTCTGTATTCATGGATTAAATCCATCAATCGAGTTCTGATTTTGGCTCATATATCCGTAACGGGTCCTCCAGAGCAATTTTCCACCTTGTACGATGGTTATTATTTCTTTATATCTATGTTTAAAATTTGAGGTGGGATAATGGCGGCTTCTCAAGAGCAACGAGGTAGGCGATCTTTTGCACCAACGAACAGAAAACTGATGGCGAAAAATAACCAATCAGAACCTCCCAAAAAAAAGAATTTGCCTAAAAACGGAACTTCGTGGTTCTGCGCAGATTTACCAGTCAGACACGACATCTCCAGGTGGCAAAAAACTCGCTGAAAGCGAATTTTAGCAATCAACACAACTTGACGTAGAGACATGATTGGCTAAAAAATACAACGGTTTTTGATACATCGGAAAATCAACCAAAAATCGGAGACTGGGCGAAACGCTCAAGGTCGCAGAGGTATAGGGAATTCCATAGCGAAAGCAACGGAACGATTCTAATATCATGGGGAACTCCGTTCCCATGACAATAAATTCATACCGCTCTTCCGTACTGCCATCGCACCCATCTCCTAACTTTTCATCCAGGCGCTTTGCGTACAGAGCCTTGACACTCGGGTGCTTTAGGCTATCGATGTTATACTGAACTTGATGTACGCGTTGTCGCTCCGGTTGTTGATTGTCGCCTGGATCGTTCTGCGACACACGAGCGGGAAAGGCTACATCCGCTCTGAGGAAATAGTGGTCACTACCGCAGGAGAGCCCTCTACATACCCTCACCTGCTGGATCTTCAGGTTTGTTACCTGTTTAACGAGCACGTAGTCAATGATGGATCTTAAGCCGCGGGTAGGTTGGACCCAAGTATATTTGTGAATATCCTTGTGTTGGTAGAACCCGTTCAATACTTTTAATTCCCTCTGCTCGCAAATGTCGATAATGCGGCTTCCGTTGTCGTTCACCGTAACTTCACCAAACGGGCCGACGATTTTACTGTTCACCCGGGATCCCGTTCTTCCATTTAGATCTCCCAACACAAGGACTTCTCTCCCAGGTCCTACCTTCACTACCTCCTCGTCCAGTTCTTCAAAAAACTGATCCTTAAGTGCGATGGTAGCATCATCATTGACCCCGTATACCCCCAAAACAGTGACTCTGTGACCGTATATAGTTAGGTTCATCTTAATCATGCGAGCGTTGATGGCTTCCCAGTTCTTAATATTTTTTCGAAATTTTTTGCGGATCAGAATTGCGACACCCTGTTGTGCACGCTGATGTGTCGGCACTCCACTGTAGAATAAATCATAGTCCCCAAGGCTCTCTGATCCGTGGCCTTTTTTCTTCGTTTCCGTTATAACCGCCACGTCGATCTCGTTGTTCTTTATCTCCGATACCACTTCCGTCAGTTTCTTGGAAATGCCTTGCACATTCCAAGTACCAAAAGCGAGTGTCGTTTTCCGTAATCTAAGTCGAAGAGTCCGTTTATTTCCATGGTTACCGAGGCATATGTTATTGGGTTTTTTGACATTGCACATTTTTTCCGAGGATCGGGGAGTCAGCCCGATGCCCCAACCCCCAACCTGGAGGACCAGGGTTTGATTTCGGAGTTACCTCTCCTAGACAGGTTGCTTCCACCACAGCTAAGAGCCCTGTCTACCCGCCCCCTTTGAGGCAGGGGCTACCAGCTTCATTACTCTATACTTCATTATTCCTTTGAAAAACTAGTCAACGTAATTTCTTGAAAACTTCCTGGATTTTTCTCCTTTCCTGGCAGAATATTCTGTAAAGAT